AGAGCCACTTGTCCCCAGTTCCTCTCTCCCAGGCCACATTCCCTTAGAGCACCTCCTCCTGCTTCTCCCCTCACTGCCTTTAGCCCTTTAATCCTCCCTAGCTGGGTTCCTGTAACCCAGTCACCAACCCTATGAGTTAATGACTTCTTTGCCGTCTGAAGTTTATGAGTCTTGTTTCACCTTTGCAGAAAAGAGAGCTGTGGGGAAGACATCCATCCCTTTCTCTCAGCATGGGGAGGACCCAAGTTGTGTTCCTCTTCTAAGAGTTCTGGAGAAAGATTAATGTTTTGAAGACATTTACATGAGCAAACAGAAATGAGTCTGGTTTTATCGGTTAAAGCCTTATTTCTGACTTTATGCCACAATCAATGGCATTGTGTAAAAACAGCCAGATGGAAAATGGATGTGCAGAAGCAGTACCTTCGTATAATTCAATTTAATTAGTTTAATGGCATTTCTCTGGCAGTATGATGGGCAGAGGCTGCTTAGCCTGGATTCTTGGATGGCAAAGTATAGCTTAAGATGTTATATCGAAGAGATTCTAAGGGAAGAAAACAGTGAAAAGAACATTTGCTGTCCCCTAGCAGAGGGTTAGCCAATTAATCACTGTTATTGTTGACTAAGTCATTTTTTCTTGACAGCTGTGCCCTTCAAAATGACATCAGGGGAAACTGAATCCATTTGCATTACTTCAGCTGGCCAAATCACTGTAGAAAGTTGAAACTAGTTCTGAAAAAAAACAACGAGGAAAACAGGGACATCAGTGAACTCTGAATGACAGAATAAATGGGCTATTCTGAGTACTCAGCAAAGTTCATTTACTGCTCTGTATTTACTATTTCTCAAAAAAATTTAAGATTATTGTTTATTGAATTTGTTGAGAAGCAATGAAATCTCCTGCAATTTTATTTTTAAATATCATTTTGCTACCCAACAGCAATAGTAAATCCATAAAATAACACGATCGACTAGGACTATGAAGTAAAAAAAAAAATATTGTTTGCTTTGTACATTCTTACTAGTCTTGGCTAAGATGTTATAAAAGCAGTATCTTTTAACACCTTTTATTATACAAGGGTCAAGGGGTTTTTATGTTTCTTAAAGAAAGCTTCAAATAGCCCACATAGTGGGCTCCTGCATCTTTCATATGGCTGCTGTATAAACAAGGCCATTTTACACAGGAAATGACATAACCATGTAAAAGTGTACATGGAGTTTAGGCACATATTCAAACACTAATGGGAATGCATTGTTTTCAATGGCATACTTTTATGTTTACCTATTGAGCTTAGTACCCATTTTTTAGCCAAATACAACAAAAATTATCCACACATACCTGTCTTATAGTGTACTGTTTATTTGAAATTTGGACCTTCACAAAGACTCTCATGGGACAGATAATGACCTTAAAAAGTAAATACAAGTGAGGCATTCTCAGTGAGAGAGTGAAACCTGCCATCATAAAGGTGGAAAGCTAAACTTTTAACCTGTATTGCTTTACAGCTCAGGTTTCTGCCATCCAGTTGCTCACACCAACTCACCCATGGGAAGAAAGTCATAACAATAATTTAGGGTGTCTATCTTTGCACATTATATAATTACCTGGCTAAAGAAAGTGGTGCCAAATTCCTACAGTCATAGAATCACAGAATCACTCAGGTTGGAAAAGACTTCCACTAAACCACATCACCAAATGTCACATTTGCTTGTTTGTGGAACACTTCCAGGGATGGTGACTCCACCACTTCCTTGGCCAATGTCAAGATTCCCTGTTTCTCTCCAGTTTCTGTGCTGAGTGTCAACTCCAGGGTGTGCCTTATTCCCAAGCCCCTGCATTTGGAGGGGAATGAAGATTGAGTGAACCCTGCCTGGGTCTTTCTTTTGTGCTGATCCGTGCCATTCATGTACTTTGGGAAACTTCAATGCCTGTTTCTGTTCACATGCCAGGTAACTCAAACTGCAGATTGCTGTGTAAAGTCTTGACAAGATTGGCAACAATTTGTGAGAAGACAGAAGTTTGTGCCAGGGGATTCCAATGCCTCCAACAGTGTACCAATAAAGCACCTATAGGCTAGTACACATTTACACCATGGAGAAAGTCAGTAGAGCATTCCAGAATAAAATAGTGTTGAACTGCAATTCCCAGACTTATCGAACAATTTCACAATATAAATGCAAAAAGACACTCTGGACATGACAATACTGGTTTATAACTAATGGTATAAACCAGAATAATCAATTTGAGACCTAAAAGTGGAAAAACCCTACCCTATTCCTATGCCCACAATTATAAACTCCTTGTTTTGAGCTGACCCAAACTTGAGCAGTGCCAGGGCTGTCCCTTCTGGATGCCACCACATTTGAGAGACCAGCCAAGCAAACTGAATGTCATGTTACCTCCTAATCCATACACTTGGGCTTAAACTGCTTCTGTTTTGGCCAAACCCATTTCTGAAGCAGTAATAATCCATTATGATTTCAGCATTTTACTGTCTGTAGTTTCAAATTTGTTTAATCTGATATTACAGACCTACTGGTGTTTTTTTTTTTTAATTTTCCTTTCTAACTCCCATCAAGCAGAATGTAGGCTTTTGAATGATTAGCAAAGGGTGTTTTTTAAGGCTTTAATTTGTCAGTATTTCTTTTAATTTTTCCTCAGATCATACTGTTTGCTTTGGGATTATTGCAAAACCTTGGCATATTTTTCCATTTAGGTGCTGATACATCCTCAATTTAAATACCATTTCCTTGAGTCTTTAGCTTGCTTTATTCATGCATTGAAAAAGTCATACAAGGACAGCAAGAAAGAACCTCAGAGAGGTTAACACCTTAGGTTTTAGAAACTTGCTATCATGACCAACCTCACCAGGACTCTTAGACTGGTCACCAGCTCTGCAGTGTGAACCAAACAGGAACTGCCCTTGTCAGATTTACAAGCTATCATGCCTTGCGTGTAACACCAGTGCTCCCGTCCACAGTTGTTACAGCACTTGATGAATCCAGGTGGTACTGAAGCAAACTGCCCCATGCAGGCACGCCTAATCCCAGGAGTTAACTTGTCTTAATTTAGATTTGCTTCAAGTGTATTTAAATAGGCAGTATTTGCTATTTTAAACTGATCACCCTGAGCCATTGAGGAACGTGCCTGTGTGGTTAATGACAGGCATGGCACAGCTGTGTGTCACACATCAGAGCAGATTTCCTTGGGAATGTGGAAACAGCATTCCCAGAGAGTGGGAGCAGCACTTGCCTAAGGAAGAAAGGAGACAACCCTTTGTCATGGTCATCTGGCAAACCTCTCCAGGAGATAGCTGGAGCCAGTGCTAGAGGAAGTTGCAAACACACCTGAGAACAGCCAGGAGCAGGAAAAGAACTGCTTGAGCAGATTGGGGGAAAAAAAAGCCTGAGCTGCTCTCCTGGCTTGGGACTTGTCAGGGGAATGTTTTGCCTCCTGCTGTGGCAATGGTAAAAATCAGCGGTACCTAAATCAGCTTTTAGTAAATCTTAGATTTGTAGTTTTGAAAGACTGGCTGGTGATGAGCAGTTAGTGCTGGGGTCAGTAACTTCTGTGCCCAGCCTAAGGCTCCATGAGGATGAGGAGGAGCAGGACCTGGGAAGGGCGCACTGAGACTCCAGAAGGGAGATGCAGAATTCCTGTGGGCAGCCCTGACCCACCAAAAAGACCCATAAAATGCCCAAATTTCTCACACACTTGTTACAAAGTAGCTTCAAGTGCTTGTCATTCTAAGTGCCTGCTGCCCTGCACGCTGGGGATTCAGCCGCAAGCGCAGTTTTGTGGTCCCCAGGTTTGCAGCAGTCAAGCAGTCCCTGCAGGCAGGAAAACCAGGCAGTGTCAGTCTCTGCAGGCAGGAATGATGGCACTGAGGAAATCCCATAGACCAAAGCTCCCTGCAGGGCCGTTCTGCATCCCTGAGCTGCAGGTGAGGGCACAGGGCAGGTCACCTGCACAGGGGTCCCCCAGGTGTCTGGGAGCAAGGCTGCTTATCCAGGTACATTAATCTGGTTAAAGGCTGAGCTGCCCAGAGAGTGCAGGAGGAAGGGCAGAGCTTTATGTCACTGTTTATGGCCATTGATCAGGAATTTAGGGTTGTATTCTGCTGGTGTGAGCTTTAGTATGTCCAGACTGGGGTAGTGAGCAGAAGGACCTTGGGGACTGTACTCAGCTCCTTGCCTCTATCCACACCTGTGATGCTGTGCAGAACCAGGAAATCTTAGGACTCAATGGTCTAAGCAATATCAAACCCTAGCATTTATATTTTGTACTATTGGTAAACTCCTTCAGTAATTTCTGATGGTTCATAGGACCTTTCTGATCCGTCTGTAGTTGAATATTTGGTACCCACTTTTGTGGATGGAAATATACAGGGTCAATCCCATTTATAATCCATGTCTATAATAGATAAAGGGGATATACAAGCACACAGCCCTTGGAGGATGGAATAAAAGAATACCAAAGCTCTTTTGCAACCATCTGCATAACTCATTTTTGCCCTAGACACATCAAGTCATAGTGTCATTCCCCACCAGATCAAACCAGTCCTTCCTTTCATATCTTTCTTTCAATGTTCCCACAGCTTCTCTCTGTGGCAGCAAAAAACACAAATGTGTTTTGCATACCCCTGGTATTCTGCTGCATGGAAAAGTCCCTTTCACTTGTATTTATTGTACAAAAACATAAAACAATTTCTTAATTGCATTATAATTATGCAGAGTTGGACAGCTAGGCACAATGCAGCACTGTGTCAATAATTTATTACATTTTATGCCATAATTGAACACTTTTACTATGAGCGTTTGAGAACAACTTGGACCTTATACAGACTAATATATTTTGCTACATAATAATGGAAAGGTGGATACTTAAGAAAGATATGTAGCTTGGAGGAAAACATACATGGAAGCAAATAGTTCCTGCATCACCTATCTTCACATAAAACTTAAAACTAAACCAACATATTATATTTAATGACCCCTTTTTATATATGCATAGTTTCAAGAGCTAATCAGAAAGAAATCATATTACAGTGCAACTATTTACACCAAGATGGGGGCACACCAGAACACAACACTTCTCAACATTGGGACTCTTTTCTCACATTTATGAATGGACAAAGCCCAAGGGAATCAGGCAGAAATTCAGTCTCAAGAACAATGTTCAAGGAACAAACAGGTCATATCCACAGCTCACTGATACCATCTCTATCCACTGCCTCGAGGCTAAAAGCAGGAGATCTCAAGGTGTAGAGGTATCATCTTCTCTGTCATGGACTTCACTTAAGAGTCAGTCCTGTGTTGCCAGCGGCACAAGGCCTTAAATCCAGCTGTGTGACAGCATCCAAATGCTACTGAAATATGTCCATGGGGAAAACACAGAAACAGTGGACTTATTGCTACATCCTTGTAAACGTACTTACCCTAGGGGTAAGAAATCTAGTTAACTTTGTTTGATGAGAAATTATGTCCAATGTGTCATATTACCTTTCATAATATATTCACACAAGCAACTGTTCTGCTACCTACAACCACACGACTCCACCACCATGTCCTCATACTGCTTGTAGACCACATTATTTGCAGAGTCAATGAAAAGAATGCTGATGGGGCTCAGCCGGGTTGGGACACAGCAAGTTGGGGGGGTGGATTCGGGATCCATGGAGTTCATTAATGTCTGGATAACTGCATGGTTGGTGGGCTCCAGGTGGGATCGGAGGGGGAATTCACAGAGCCCTTCGCAGTGATACGCCTCATACTCCAGAGGAGCTATTATCCAGTCATCCCAGCCCATATCCTTAAAATTCACATGGAGGGCTTTTCTGCTACACCTTGCCTTCAGGTTCTTGGTGGGCCTCTTCCCTTGCCGTGTTGCTAGAGGAGCTCTTCTCTTCCTCCTCTGGTTGAATAAGTACTCATAAACAGTTTTGTCATCTTGGCCGGATCTAGCTTTGATTTCATTGAAGAACAAGTCTCTTTTTTTTGTCCTCCCAAACACCAAGAACAGAGCCTTTTCATTGACCTGTCTTCCTGTTCTATTAAATCCCACACTCCTGAGATCAACAGCTCTCCCCCTGTCAAAAGTTTCCAGTTCAAAACACAAATTAGCCAAGTTTTTAAAGTTTCTGAAAAGCTTCCAGATGTCAAACACTTCCCACTTGGGTGTATCAGTGATACTGACAGTCCGAGAGTCCAAGAGCGTTGAGGCTTGTCTGTTTGTAGAGCAACTAAATAATTTTACTTGGGAAGCTTTTCCAGAAGAATGAGACTTCCATGTATCAGAAGGTTTTTTTCTCAATATTCGAAGCTCTGCTCCCAGCAAGCCATCTTTTTCTAATGCACTGATGTCAAAAATATATTTTTGTTTTCTTATAGTTGGTGCTCGCTCATCTAAAAAAAGCACACAGATTTTTAAATGTATATCAAGCACAGACCAATATAACTTAATCAGTTCTTAGTGGTTTTCCTCAAATTTGCTTATAAGCCTTGAAGTTAGCCCACTGAACAGAAAGAGCAATTTTTGTCTAAGGGATCAGCTCCATGCAGGGACTCAGAAGAACTCAGGGACTCACCAGAGAAATGAGTTTCTGCATCCGCCTTGGAGAAATCTCCTTTCTTTCATCAGTGGGAATTTTCTACCTTCAAAGTTGTGATCAGCCACTTGAAAAATAATACTTTTTCAGGGCTGAGCAGTGACAGGACCTATTCACCATTTCTATCCTACTTAAATTACTGAAACAGAGCTTGATAGTAGCCAGGCCTTATGCTGGCTCCAAACATGAGCAAATTTACTCTTAGATGATACAATGGTAAATTAGTTCTCTAAAACCAGCATCCTCAGGAACTGCCAGACACAAGGATAATTGCCTAGTTAACTAAACACCACATAATTCACAATTTTTCAAACTGGGCAGAAAATCGTTCCTTTCATTATCCTGACTTTACATTTGCTTGCTTCAGCTGGTGAGGAATATGGCTGAGCCACCCTTCCAGTGACGTGAAACTAACAGTGCCTTCCAGTGGCAAGCTGGGAACCTGGAGGCAGCACTTGTGAGCAGAGTATCCCCCCTTCCCAGCAGCCAAGCTATTAATGAAGAGATGGCAAACAAGTCCAGTCCTGGTGAGTCTTTCATCACAATTCCTTCACCAGCTGTGTTGCTTCCTTGACCATGACAAAACTCTTACAAATGTCACTGGAAGCAGCAAGGGCCTCCCAAAGCAGGGTGGTGAGGTGAACATCATTCGTTGGGAGGCTGGTTGTTTCTCCTGTGAAATCAGACACTAGCCCAAATTTTCAAAGGTGTTTGGAACAGAAATGGTGAGCTGCAAATTCTGGAGTCCTGGATGTTATTACCCTTGGTAGCCTTGCTGAGCTATGGGCTTCTTGGTGGTACCTGAAAGCTTTAAGCTAGTACAGATATACCCACTCCACAGGATAATGACTTCTGGGTCTGCAGTGTAGTTCCTCACAATTCTACCTTGAACAAACCAGACTGGCCCTTTCATGGTGAAAATTGTGGGATTTTTTTCACAGAGTAGCTCTATTCTTAGTGTATTATATGTTTTTAGGCACTCTACAGCCTAATGTTAGCTGTTTCCATGAGCTAGTTTCCAGCTAGCTAGAAAGAAAATAAGACAAAAATGCAAAAGATTTTAAACACCTAAGCATGCAAAGACTGACTGATTTTCAACAATATGCATCTAAAATACTTCCTAAATGTTTTCTTTGGCTGCCACACAACCACCTAGTTCTGCCTGTAAATGAGTTTTCCAAGATAAGGCAGGAGGACAAAATCTGCAGCAAAGTTGTGTGATTTCATTTACATTAAATAGAGCTATTTGACTTTACCAAAATATGAATATTTTCTAATACACTCTGCATTTATAAGCACATTAAGGCATCTCTCTCTGTCCACACTCACTCACACACCAGCTCCTTTCTTACCTTGTCCTTTGTCTATAAAGCTGGTTATTGTATTGGCAAGTCCAGCCTCCAGTTTTACACTTCCATTAACACCCTTTCTTTCTGCATCTGAGAGAGTCCTGTACAAAGAGAGCATGTATTCATGTGGCGTTATCGGGGGATGTCGGAAAGTTTCCTTAGCTTCCCTCTGGGTTACAGGCTCTTTAGTCTTTTTGGTTTTGAAAGAATCACTGTCAGTACTGCTTGTGCCAGTTTTTTTCAAAGCCACCTTGCTGCTAAGATTTTGAACCTTTGGAGTCACTGTCCTTACTCCAGAAGGTCTGCTGGGGAGATGTCCTACCTTGCCCTCCGTGGCTGCTGTTCTTGAGGGAACCTTCTTTGAGTCATCGTTCTTGGCCAGCAGAGCTCCAGCCTGAACAGCACTGCTTTTAGTCCTGGCCTTTGAGGTCCCAGCACTGTATCCATGGCTTGCAGTCCTCAGTGTACCTGCCCGTGTGGAGGGATTCCTCTCCTTTCCTTCTGCTTTCAAAAAACCTAGTTTAGATCCTGGATTACCCTGGCCTGCTTCAGAATTACTCAGCGCTCCAGGAACTAGATCCAGAGACAGCCAAGTCAAATGCCAAAGCAGTAAAGTGAGAAAATGCAGGATTTTCATCCTCTGGTCTTCCTCTGAATGCCACTAAAGAAAAAATCAGAAAAGGTTCCTCCAGTTTGGCAGAAGAAAACATGAAAGAAATTAAAAACCAAAGTTAGCAAAAATGGCTTTCGTTTGAGATTAAAACATTTCAAATATTGTTGTTCAATCCTTGTATCCAGTCCCATAGTGGAAATGCTCATGTACTCAGATACGATCTCCCCTGACTTCAGTTAGCAGCTATAAAGAACTTGTTCTTGAAAAGAGAAAGTTTACCACCTCGTTTTCTTCTGTAAAACTGACTGAAAACTTGAAGGAGTCTTGTTTAAATCCAAGGGTTTTTTTTTTTTTTCCAAGAAGGAAGAATGGCGTAATGCTGCCTCTGTGTTAAAAGGTTTTTTTAAAGTTTTGAGTTTTGAATCCTTTCCAGTGAAAATATTTCACACACAGAGACCTGCAGGTGCTCAGAAATCTTTTACAAACCTGAACTCTGGAATTGGAAACGGAATTCCAACAAACCTATTTAATTACTCTCTGATGTCATGCTGTCTAAACTAATTTAACTGCGATATATTTCTTTAAAAAAATCTTCTTTACCCTTTTCATTAGCATGAGTCATACTCTGCCTCATGTGAAACAGCTCCACAGGCTCAAAACTCCAGAGGATGCCTTTTCAAGTGGCAGTATGACCTCTGCCTCAGCCCTCGACGAACTTCACATTTAGACAGGACAAACTGCAAGATCAACAACTGAGAGCTGTCACACAGTCCACTGGACACATACATAAACTAATTTAGAAATAATTCATGTAGCTCTTTTTCCAGAGAACTTTGTCCCCCTGTGACTGAAGGAAGGGCTGTGCTGTAATGCAGGGGCTTAACGAGGGTAACATTTAATTTTACACAAACACAACAGGGCCGTGCCCGCAGTCACTGTATTTTGGCTTATTTATTGCTGTGCTTTAAAAAACCCCCTTGTCAGCCCAGCTGGAGAAGCAGCTCCTGCCGGAGGGGATGCCCCGCGGGGCGGGCGCGGTGCAGCGGGGCAGCAGTGCACCCTGCAGGCAGCCGTCCTCCTCCTTCTCCTCCAGAGCCGCTCGGGAGCTGGAGACAGGCTGAACCCCATCTTTCCTCCCGAGACTGCTGAGCACCAGCCTTTGTTTTAATTTTAAAATGTCCAAAAACTGCTGACACCGGGGTCCCAAGAAGGCTGCAGGTCAAACCCAGTGCTTCTCACGGTCAGGGCTGTCCTGCGGCTTTCAGCCATCCAGAAGAGAGTGTGGAGCAAATGTGTCTTTCATAAGTTGCCAAAAATGAACTGTTCTAAATGAACCTTCGGGAAAAGAGGCATTGGGCTGGACTCAGCAGGGATTACTGGGACCCTTCTCTCATCTTGCACTGATACTAAGCCCAGTCCTTATCCTGCAATTGCTTTTCTTTTAAGATGAAAGGGAAAAGGTACACCACTCTTTAGCTTGTACTGTGTGTGCTGTAGCATTCCCCACCCACCCTGACTAGCATCAGAAACACTGAACAGCTTTCATAAATAACAACCTTCATGACATGAGGAGCTCTGAATGCTTCATTTGTTTTGATGGAGGAACTGAAGGACAGAAGAGTTAAGTAATTTTACAGATGTCACAAATAAGGTAGATTCAAATCATGATCCTCCTGATTTTGATCTAATGGCCCTTCCTCTGATGTCAGTTGTGCTTTTGATATTTCCCTACAAAGTAAAGCAGCTTCTCCTGGGAGTTACCTCTGGTGAAACCATGCCCCAGTAGTCACTCCACACCATCCCATGGCCCTCCCAGCCATGCCATCACTTTGTCCTTCCCATATTGCCCACCTTTCTGCTGGGTGGCGTGCTGTCTCTGGTTCTGCACCATGGGGGTATTGATCAGCTTGTCAGTAAGCCACAAAAGTAGCTAAATGTTGAGCTTCCACTTTTAATCTATCCAGCTTCCAGTTTTCACAATGCTTGTAAGAATTTAATATCCTTAAAAGGGTATTTGCTTTCTCAAACTTGGCTGAGATTTGCAAGTAGATTTAAAAGTTATTTAAGAGATGGACATGAAAGAGCAGGAGGTTGGACAATGTGATTACATTGGCCTTATCTTAGTAAATCAGATTAAAGCATGATCATTCATATGTTCAAAGAATATTTGTATGTCTGAGATTAAAATATCTTAGTGGGCTGGACAGAGCTAAACAGAAAAAAAAGGAAAAGCAAGCAGAAGAAGGCGTGCAAACTAATCTCCCTCTTTAAAAGAGGCTGTCTTGAAGCAAACTCCATCTCAGTGCTTGGAACCACAGGAGCACAGATGCTGTAGAATGCACTGAGCCCCACAGACCCCAGAGTGGAATGCTGACCTTGAACAAGACCCACGGACTTGGGGGTTCCTATAAACTCCCAAAGTGGAGTAATTCCAGCTGGCTTAACTCAAACTCCACTGGGATCTTCAATATGCAGCTAGAAACCTTCCTGCTGGTGAGGCTTTGGATATAGGACACAGTTCCAAGCCTCTCACTGCTCACCACCTGCCAAATTTCTGTGCACCCTCATGTGGCTGATTCATGTAGCCCACCTGTCCTTCTCAACCTGTTCTGTGACAGCAGCTCCTCCCTCACACGGTGTGTGTATGGATTTCAAAAGGGAGGGTCACCCATGTTCCTGCTCCCTGGAAGTGCATTGTCTCCTGCTCTCCAGGTCCTGAGATGGTGCCTACATGAGCTGTGATGCCTTCTCAGACAACCTCAGCAAACCCTTCTGGATGTCCAGCATGGTCTAGAGGAAAGGATCGGTCTGGGGAGCCAGAGGAAGATTTCATAGTGTTGAAAACATTGCCATTCCCTGGGGATGAATGGCTCCACTGGATATGTGATGCCAAGAGTTAGAATTTGTTCTCTGGTGCACACTTGCAGCTGAAGATGCACATGGAAGTCTTCATTCTAGTGACCTATCAGGAATTTCATTGTCCTTTCCCAGGTGGACTAATTTCCAGAAAGGACTTACAGGACTAAGTTAACTCCACATATTAGGCCATTTGCTGTCACCTTGTTTTGCTTATTGAAATTATCATTATGTTTCTGTGAGGATTTAGACCTCTCTACTATAGCTCTTGGGGGACTGTTTTTAAAAGGATGAAGCTATAATTTTAGGAAGGAAAGTAACAGCTCTGTGCTTTTCAAGGGGAAAGATTTACACAAAACTTACAGATGTTATAATTAAAACTGACTTGTCTTGGGCCAGAGCAAAACAAATGTAATGATGTTTCCACTCCCATGTGAAGGTGGCATAATTTTAAAACACTGTGCTACAATGTTGTGATACTGAATTAAAAAGTGGAAGTCCAAAGAAATAATTGTGACATTAGTTTTCAAGAAACTTGGCTACATCTGCAAACAGTAGTGAAGTACAAAGCACAGAATCTTAGAAACATGGAATATCCTGAGTGGGAGTGTTATTTTTGTTTCTTGATTCCACAGATGTACCTAATTCCTTCAACTCTGAATTAAGTAGAATTTTTTTTTCCTGATTTTTGGTACCTTTGCCTGTACCAGTTAGAAAAATTCAGGGTTTGTTTCAAGCTTCCTCAAGCCTTTTCACTAACAGAGTCCCTCCATTTGGTATACAATGTTAATTAGTCTGAATTGCCTTTGATAGGTATTGTTCGTCTTCGTAATAGAAGCACGATTAAATGGTTCAGGATTTGAGACAGAGATTCAGAGATCTCAAATTACTCAGCTGACCAAAGAGAAATTTGGTGGCAATTAATTCATTCTACCTCTTTAAAAAAAACCTAGAATGTCAGTGATGAGGCATTCACTGTCACGGGAAAAAGCAGGGACTGAAAACAAGCCAGTATTATTCAGCTGCCAAATACTAAACGAAACATGTTTTTAGCATCTAAGTCCCCGAGCAATTTCCGATGAATTGCGGAGGGTTCACTATGAGTTTTTTGTGATTACAGTCCCTGCCGGCGCTGGCGCCGCGGGAAGGCCCCGCCGCCCCTCACGGAGCCTGCGCCGGCTCCGGGCGGCCCCGGGCGGGCCGGGAGAGCCGCTCCGCCCGCGGCCGGCGGGGCGGGACCCTCGGGGCGGGCCGGGCTGGGCAGGGCCCCGAGCTGGGCAGGGCCTGCCATGGCGGGCAGCGCGGGCAGCGGGGAGCGCAGCCCGGACTCGCTGCGGCGGAGGCTGCGGAGCGCGGAGGAGGCGCAGCAGCGGCAGGCGGGGCTGGTGCGGCAGCTGCAGGACGAGGTGAGGAGCGGGCGGTGCCCGGCGGCGGGGAGGGGGTGCAGGACCGCCCGCGCTGCCGGCGGCACTCGGCGGGAGCCCGCGGGGCCTCCCCGGGCGGGCGGCGCCGAGCTCGGGGCGGGGAGGCCGCGGCAGCCCCCGTCCCGCCGCCGTGTCGCTGCCGAGCCCTTCCTGAGTTCGGTGCCCGCAGCATCGCTGCTGTTCTGCCCCGTTAGCAGGGCTTGTCCCGGGCTGGAGTCGGTCCGGTTTGCTTGCAGAGCAAGTTTGAAAACTCATTTCGGTCGCCTCAAGAACCCCACCTTGAACGTTGGCTCGGGGTAGGTGGGGGCCGTAGGTCAGGTAGAGCTGCCCACATCTGTCCCATCTTTCTGCTTGCTGCTGCTGTCCCAGGTGAGGAGTGCTACGTGTGAAAGATAGCCCGCCCCAATCTTTGTCATATTAAAGTGAAGCTTCCCAATATTGCAGTGACTTCTTGTTGAGTGTATCAGCATCACTGTGCTTGGGCTGGACGGACTCAGAGAAAAGTTAATATGGGGTGAGCAGAGTATATTACAAGCTGCTTCTTTCTTCATTCTCTGTATCCATTCAGGTACTGCAGTACCAGACCTGGTGTCGAGTGTTGGAGCAGCAGGTGAAAGCTGGAGGGGTGAGTGTGCAGGTTGTGAACTAAAAAGGGTGTATCTAATGTTCCCAAATGCAGACTAATAAAAACCCTCCACAAACGAAGGAGAGGAAAGCAGACTTTTACTGTCTGAGGATTTTTCT